TCAAAATGTTTGGCTACTAATCTGAGATCATCATTTCTAATATACCGTTCACCTTTTTTTCCATTGAACATACATTGCTATCATCACTACTAACTTCATTAATATTATTAAGGCTCGAAGAGCCATTGTTCTGCAATTCGTTAAATGTAGATTTATTTTTTCCTTTAGTCTTGAGCTCAATCCAAGCTTTGATCGCTCCTATAGTCCTGGCGTCGGGTTTCGTTGTTTGATTATAATAATTTTCCACCACTTTGTTCGAAATAACCTTGATCTTTTTCTTCTTTCGAAGATCGCTTACAACTTCAGCAATCATATCGGCTTTAGAATAATCGTTTTCTCGCATGGTCTCGTCGAAAAGGGTTTTAAATTTCGGAAAAAGTGGATCTGAAAACGAAGTGCATCTTGAACCTAATACGATACAAAAATATTAATTTTCTGCGAGTCTCTCAGAGTAACAGATATTTATATGTTGAAATAATCTTACCTTGAGAACTACTTGAAAAATTTCTTGAATTATTATTCGAAAGATTACTATTTAACGTTTCATCCTCCTGAAATCTTTGTTGTTGGAACTCTTCATAAAACAAAGAAATTCTTTCGGTAAGATCATCTATCTTATTATAGATTTCGTTAGATTCGTTTTTTTGTTTCTTTTTTAATAATTTGAGTTCCATATAGATTTGTTGTTTGAAAATATAGAAAACGAAGCATATGATGACAATGAATAGGTATATAAATAGTTTTTCTCCAAATATCAATGTTACGATGAGGATAAATAGAGGGATTAAAATAAAATAATTCTCTAATAGCATTTTTGAGAGAGCTTCGAAAAATTCAGTTGTCGTCATTTAAAATAATATCAGTCAGTGGATTATAACGAGATACAAGTAGTATATTGCAAAGCGATGACCCTTTGGGTCTACATATCTTGATTTTGACAAATGTAAGAATAATATTTATTCGAGTGTTATAAGTAGAAGAAATAACCTCATTTGAGCTGTTTTTATATACATTTAGAGTTTCTCCAGCGCGGATGATCAATTGTTAAGGATACACGTCATTAAGTTTTATCATTGGTTTTTCTGAATTACATGGCCGACTCATTAAAAATTGGATATTACCTGTGCCGATACTAATTATTTGTGAATTTTATCTGATAGGTAGAATCAAAAACTTTGACACATCTCATTCGACTCACAAACCCTCATTCGATGTCAAAAAATAAGCTTAATTGTTTTTATACAACAACAAATAGATGCCTTTTCTTAACACGAATTATATCTGGTTTATTTCTGCCTTCTTTTTTTTACCGATCACGTATATGGGAGGAAAAAGGATTTCATTCTAAGTAATTAATTCGTCGCTTCATTATGAACTCAAACACAAAACAACATTCATGTTGGGCAAATATTACGGTTAATGAACTAACTATCAGTTAATAAATTGGGGAATCGAAATTGAGCTAGCTCGTGATCAGCAATTCTGGATCGGCGCTAAAATGTATTCGGTTGCACAATGCGTGTATTACATTACCTACTTTTCGGCAGAAATTTTTCCAAGTAATCGTCCCAAGGAGCAGTTTTATACCATGTGATATGTTGATGTATTACCGATCAGCAGATTACTGTTTCATATGCTCATCGTATGCATCACTCGCAAATATGACGATTATATACAACTTATCTAATAACCCAGGCCCTATGGGGCTCTTCGAGATTCGTACTAAAAATGAATCATATATTCTTATACTATCTCTTAAATTGTTTTGCAGCCAAATTTGCCTGCAAACTTTTTTAAATTTTAAAATTTTTTAATAAAATTTTAA